GAAGACAGTAAAAAAACCTTGCCTGCACCCTAACAAAGGATCAGGCAACAGACTGCTACTGGAAAGGGCCAAAAGCAAATTACCTCCTCTTCAAGAACCCATACCTATGACAGGCAGTTATTTATCATTTCTATATGGATATGGTAGTTAAAAACAATTGATGCCTGAAGCACTTAAGAGCTTTGGTAAAAATAAGCTATAAATATATTTCATTGCTTATTTTAATTGAAAAGCACCAACATGAATGGCTATGCTGTAAGCAATACTAGAGTATTGCTAGAGTTACTGCTCCTCAAGGTGAAGAGACATTTTCAAGACTAACCTATATCCTTTCATTCTGAAAGGAAACATTTTTAAAATGGTTTCAGAATACAGAAACATTTTTGTGACATTACAGAAGTTGAAAAGCATCCAATTGAGACAACTGGAGAATGTTTTCAAAAGCTGCATCTTTCAAATTTGGACCACCCAATATTTCTTATATTTGATATGAACTTAGATGAAATGTTATGTATATTTGTGCCATTAACGTTACATTTCCTTCATATTTTTGAGGGATTTTGTGTTATTTGTGTAGTCGAGTTTAATTTTTTTCCTTTTTTCTCTATGAGAAGTTAAATTATTTTAGCAATTATAAATGGATATTTTGATTTGTGGCAGTAACAAAACCATATTATCCAAACTGTGTGAAAGAAAGTCCATAAATTATGGAAATTTAGCATTGAATGGCTGATCCACTTTACTGGTTATATCACAGAATCATACAAGAAATTAGGCTGGCAGGGATCATCAGGAAGTCATCTGGTCCATCTGCTTCTCAAAAGAGAGTAGACTTCAAAGTTATATCGGATTGCTTAAGGTTGTGACCAGCTGATTTTTGAATAATCTCCAAGGATGGAGATTCTACAACCTCTTTGAGAGACCTGTGCTATCATTTGATCACAGCCATCCTATGAAAGATGTTCTTTTTTGTTATCTAACTGGAAATTCCCTTGCTGAACTTTATCTCCCCCGGCCTTCCACTGTTCACACTTGAGAAGCATGTGGCTCCAACCTAGGTAGTTGATCACCCTACAACTCTCTTTTCCTAAGGCTGAACAACCCAGCTCTCTCACATCATATATCAGGTGCTCCAGACTCCAAACCATCTTGTCAGCTTCCCTCCAGACTTCCTCCAGTTTGCCAGTGTCTTTCTTATACCTTAGAGATCAGGACTGGACACAGTATCCCAGATGCAGTTTTAAGAGTGCTCAATATAGAGGAATAATGACTTCCTTAGACCTCCTAGCTACTCTGCCGCTCTCTACAGCTTCTTATAAGGTAGGCCTTCATAGCTGAAGAGACATACTGCTGACACGTTCAGCTTGTCTACTAGTTCCCTTTCTGCAAGTCTTTTTTATCAAGTCACTCCCTGTTCTAGCCACTGACTGTTAACTTATGAAGCACTGCATGTGGTCTAATCAAGTCTAATCAAGTCTTCGAGGCAACTCTAGCCCCTTTAGCCAGTACACACCTCCTCACCTTGATTTCAAGAAGCTATTACACACTATTTTGAAACCTTGCTACAGTCTACATAAAGAAATGGGAACTTGCTGACACAATGCTAGCTTTCCTCCAGTCCTTAAGAAGTATCTAAAGACTTACTAAAATGAGTATTAAAAGTACAGAGCCCCCCTCTGGCATCTTAAAAAAAAACGAAAAACAAAAAACCCAAACAGAACACATTTGGATAGAAGTTACACCTATATACTCATTTTAAGGTATGCATTATCACAGATCACAGAAACACAGAATTGTTAGAGTTGGAAGGGACCTCTGGAGATCACCAAGTCCAAACCCCTTGCCAAGGGGGTTATAATGGCTGACATCTAATTTCTCCATTAGTTAATATTGGAGTGGAAAATATTTGGGCATGACCTTACCTTAGATTCACCTAATATCCTTTCAAAAAATGAAAATAACAATAGTTCTAGAAGACTTTTTGTCTATTCTGCATGATTATCAGCAGCCTATCTTTCTATTCCTACAAATAGACAAAAAACACTATCAGAAATCCTTTTATTCCTGATATAGTTAAAACTTCTAAAATTGTCTTTAATTCTTCCAAACCTGGTTTTCTCATGTCTTTTTACTTTCCTTTTAACCTTTCTTGAATGTCTAACCTCTCAGTGAAATCCATTTATGTGACTTTCACCTTTCTGCATATTTGATCCTATTGTATTTGTCCCCCCTTATATTTTCAGTCCTGTGTGATTGTTTTTATGTGGTTTCCCAGGACCTAGTATGCTATGAAAATAAAATCAGTTACCACTAACATTTTCCTATCTAAATTTACAATGAATTGGCTCATGATTGTTCCCTAATTTTAAGATGTTACAAGGGTGCTTTAAGACTAGTGGAATGATGTCTACAGGTTGTTGCTCATATTAAAATCTCCATAAAAGTACAGCTTGCTTTCTTCTCCTTAAGCAATCTAAAGAAAATAAACAGATTGGCTATTCTTTTAAGCTCCACTCACAGTAATAGTTCTGTGAAAGACAGTAACAATCGCTGTCATGGTTAGAGGAAGGCAGCTTATGCTGAAGACAAAGGCTGTAACAGCCTCATGTGACTATTTATCTGGTCTGCTTTTACTGCCTCTGCTTCCCTCAGGTCTCAGAACCAGCAGGCTACGTATGCCTGCAGTAGTGGCCAGCTTTTATCTGCTGCTTATTGGAAACAGTTGAGGTTCTTTCCTATCATGTGATAGACATGTACATAGGGTGATGATCAGTGACGTACTGAAACACTAGTCACTGAAGATAAGGAACAGAAATGCTATGATAGAATAGATTCATAGAATCTTAAAAACTTAGAATCATAGAATCTTAGAATCATAGAGTCATAGACTTATAGATTCAAAGAATCAAAGAATGGTTCAGTTTAGAAGGGACCTAAAAGATCACCTAGTTTCAATCCCCCTGTCACAGGCAGGACACCTTCCACTAGACCAGGTTGCTCAAAGCCCCATCTAACCTGGTCTTGAAAACTTCCAGGTACGGGGCATCTACAACTTCTATGGGCAATCTGTTCCAATCCCTTACAACACAGTCTGTCTTCACAGGAGAGGTGCTCCAGCCCTCTGATCATCTTCTTGGCCTTCTCTGGACTCACTACAACAGGTCAATTTCCTTCTTATGTTGAGAACACCAGAACCGTACACAATCCTCCAAGTGGGGTCTCACGAGAGCAGAGGGGCAGAATCACCTCCCTTGACCTACTCGACCTTCTTTTGACGGAGCCCAGGACACAATGGGCTTTCTGGACTGCAAGTGCCCATTGCTGGCTCATGTTGAGCTTTTAATCCACCAACACCCCCAAGTCCTTTCCCTTAGGACTGCACTCAACCCAGTCTCTGTGCAGCCCGTAGCTGTGCCTGGGATTGCCCCAGTCCATGTTCAGGACCTTGCACTTGGCCCTGTTGAACTTCACGAGGTTCACACTGGCCCACCTGTCAGCCTGTCAAGGTCCCTCTGAGTGGCATCCGTTCCCTCCAGCGTGTTGACTGCACCAAATAGAGTGGTGTCCTTGGCAAACTTGCTGAGGGTGCACTCAATCCCACCGGTAAATATGCTAAACAGTGCTGGTCCTAATATCAACTACTGAGGAACACCACTTGTTCCTGGAGTGGACATTGCGCCTGTCCATGAATACTTCTGCTTATCTTTACCCAGATTTTCAAATAAACTGATTGAAGCCTTCTCCTCCCAGTCACCATCTTTCTAAATTGTCTTCTGGCACAGGCAGGAGTAGATTTTGGGCAATGAATTATATGTCTGTGTTATACAGTTGCAGTGCATTGCAATTCATCACAAAAATCTGGCATTTCAGAGAAGCACTCAGAAATATACTGGACATGCATTGGTTTTCTGTGTTTGCAGTAACTCTGATAGTGTGAAAGAAATAACATATATGGAAATAATATAGCTGGAGATGCTGGGGGAAGAAGTATCTGATCTTGACATATAGGCTCTACACAATTATAACAGTCATCTGCAAGCATTCATTGTCACTTGCTACAGAGCTGTTGGCAGCATGGTTATTATTACTTCATATAAAAAATGTTGCTTCCTCTTCTTTTGCATAATGTTCACTGTCCAAAAAACAATAACCCACTAACTCTAACCTTTCCAGGTTTCAGTACCATCATAAACTGATTAAATTAAGTTTCTTTCATTATTCTGACTCCTGGAATTAATACTGGCAATTAAATATATAGGCCAAGACATCTGACATTAGTAGGATAAGCTGCATGAACAAGGAGCATCTACATATACAAGGACAGAGTCATGATATCGATATGCAAATTCTTTAGGGCAATGTCTATGTTTCTTAGCTCCATGATACCCGATTGTGATAAAATAGAAACATTTTAATTAACAGAAATTACTTAGTAGTCTGAGACTTAGACCAGCAGTCTCAGTAATCAAAGATTTTAAAAAACCAACAAATTAAATGAATGATAAAAAGACAGTATTGATATCTCTGACCCAGAAAAACAAAAATGCAAATTAGTGGTTGCCAAGGCCAAGGAAGGTAATGAATGTAGTTAATGTCATCACTAATTGCATGGCAAAAATCTACAAGCAATAGCAACTTAGCAGTCCTCAAGATAAATTCAGGATCTGTAGTTTCTAGATACACACACTTTTTAGTGTGAGTTAGCTCATAGTGACACAGAGTGTGTGTTTACCAAATTCAAGTTTTGAAGTGTTGCTTTGTAGATTGAGCAATCTTCATTTATTCTGCTTTGTCATAAAATCAGATATACTGGCTATCCTCAGTAATTTACTCCGTGAAATTACCATGAATCTGACTTAATTTACTGATTCCAAGAAAGGTTCATATGAGAAGTCACACAGATGAGCATCCTTCCCCTTGACCCAACTTTCTGTAGACCTGTTTGTGAAACTCGTCTGCAAAATGATTTTTTTTCTTGAAAATCATCAATACATTCTTACCTTTAGGGCTTGTTTGCAAAGGCCCTTTTCTCAAGTCACTATTTTACCAGGTGTTAGCTCACTCTTGAAATGTGGCCTCAGTATATCTGGGCACAAACAAAACAGAGAAATATATACTTCAGAAGCAGCTATGAATTTCACTGAGACTTTCCTAGAGAAGGCATACTTAAGGGATGCCAACTATCAAGTCCTCCTCAGTTCTGAAGTAGCGGGAAACAAAGATTGCAGTTGGATCTGCCCATCCCAAGATTGCTTTTAATTTGATAGAAAACAACAGTCACCACTTTACATGGTACTATGTATCACTTGTAGTTAATTCTATAGGATTTGAGGCACAGTTTCAACTCAGCTCATGAAGGTGGAAGCCTTGAGAGACAAACTGCTCTTAAGAGAACTATTGGTACCACAGGACTGGCCCAACCCTCAGTTAAAACTCAAGTCAGATAGATTTCCATTTGAATTCCAAGTATAAATAGAGTTTTTCAATATATATAAAAACTCCAAATGAAAAGAAATTTATCAGGACGGGTCTGTCTCCACACCTGTGATTTCAAAAGCATTTACATGATTATTCTTATTCTAAGGCAAATAAGGCGGTAAATAAATGTTAAGTTTAATGTGGTACTGGTAGAGACGAAACATTAATCTGCATCTGAGAAAAGAAATGAGAAAAGATACCATGAAGACAGTTTGGCATTTAAGATGAAAAATAGGACTTACTTGCTTAAGAGAGAAATCTAGAAAGTCTAGATAACCTCAAACCCATTAAGCTCTGAAGTTTTATGCAACTTCAAAATCTGTATGAGGGCATTATGTACATTTTGATCCTGAAATTTCCTGGTTTGTCAGTGTCAAATCCAAGGACAAAGATCAGGACAGAGTTTTGAATGAGTCTCAGAAGTTCATAGTTAATGTGACAGAAATGTATTAATTGGTATTGAAGAAAAATTTAAAACTTGAACAAAATCCTACTAAAGCTGTTTTTCTTTCATTTAACAGAAAATGTTCCTAATCTCTTAAAGCTCTTAGCAAGTTCCTGATTGTAAAAAAGTTATTTTCATACTTGATTTTCAGTTTTACTAATGTCTTAACTGCTCTCAAACATGTATTTAATTGTTTTCCTTTTTTTTTTTTTCTTTGGAGGGGGGGGGAGAGGAGGGGAAAGTGGGGGGAGAGCTGGGGGAGGAGTCCCAAAAATGCCAAGACTCAAAGAACCTGGTACCTAATTCGGCTGTCAGTCTAGCTATTTTGTGAGAATTCACAGCAGATTTTCTCTGATGGAAGCTGTCACTGCAACTGAAGGTGTGACTGCAGTGGAGAATGGTTTAGGGAAGCACCAAACACATTATCTGAAGACTATGGATGTCAGAGCAGAATAGCAAGTAAAGCATATGCCTAAGGTCCCCACTATGATTGCATAATCCATGGCGAAGTCTGTGCAACTGCCTCTTTCCTGCTGTTAACCCACGGTAGCCAGTTCAAAGCTACTATGTTTATAAACTTGCTTATATTCAATAAAAATTTACATTCTGAATTTTATTTTGCTGGATATGTACTGCTTGTGTATGTAGTTCTTGAATAATTTCATATTTTGTCAATTACTTATATTTTGTACTTGCTTGTCTATTCTTCCTACAGAAGATCTTTTAGAGGTATTGCTGTCTATTCTTGCCACAGAAGATCTTTTAGAGGTACTGCATATTGTGTAATTCTTTGTGGGGGTGTGGGAGGCAGAGAATGATAAGAATTATGCAAAGCAAACACTTTTAGGGCTTAGATTGACAGATAATGCTCAATTTCAGACCACACTGACCTGTTCAGCTGAAAGATCACCCTGACACAGAACACATGAAAGAAAATGAATCACTTCAATGAACCGCTATGACCATTTGACTGAATGTGACCCTCAAACGCCTCCTACCTTTTCCAGTCCCTTGCATTATCCCATGTAACAAAGAAAATTGCAGTAAAAATGTCAGTTAAGCTTCCAATCAATTTGGTTTGGAACCATTCTATGATTCTAGGAAAATTGAAAATGCTTGCTTCATAGACTCATAGAATCATAGAGAATCGTTAGGGTTGGAAAGGACCTTAAGATCATCAAGTTCCAACCCCCCTGCTGTGGGCAGGGACACCTTAAGCTAAATCATATCACCCAAGGCCTCCTCCAACCTGGCCTTGAACACTGCCAGGGATGGAGCATTCACAACCTCCCTGGGCAACCCATTCCAGTGCCTCACCACCCTAACAGGAAAGAACTTCCTTCTTATATCCAACCTAAACTTCCCCTGTTTAAGTTTCAACCCGTTACCCCTTGTCCTATCACTACAGTCCCTAATGAAGAGTCCCTTCCCAGCATCCCTATAGCCCCCCTTCAGATACTGGAAGGCTGCTATGAGGTCTCCATGCAGCCTTCTCTTCTCCAGGCTGAACAGCTCCAACTTCCTCAGCCTGTCTTCATACGGGAGGTGCTCCAGTCCCCTGAACATCCTCGTGGCCCTTCTCTGGACTTGTTCCAACAGTTCCATGTCCTTTTTGTGTTGAGGACACCAGAACTGCACACAATACTCCAGGTGAGGTCTCACATGAGCAGAGTAGAGGGGCAGGATCACCTTCCTCGACCTGCTGGTCACACTCCTTTTGATGCAGCCCAGGATACGGTTGGCTTTCTGGGCTGCAAGCGCACACTGCCGGCTCATGTTCATTTTCTCATCCACCAGCACCCCCAAGTCCTTCTCCGCAGGGCTGCTCTGAATCTCTTCTCTAACATGGGTAGGGGTGTGCTCTCTGCAGATGGAGAATGAGTAATTTCTGCTTTTAATAACCTTTCTTTTACATTAGGTAAGTGACAATGTAGTTTTTCCAATGAAGTATCTAGGAAAGTCACTGTGTACCCTTTCAGTGGGAATGAAGTCAGCTTCTTAGAAATCAGCACATAGAGGCTACATCTGTGCCCCAGGTGTGCCAAAAAGGATCTGGGATTATTCTCTGCCCTTTACTCAACTGGCATAATACAGTTGCACCCTCATCATTAAAATTCCATACTCTCCAAACAAAGTCACTGCATCCAAACCTACTGTAAAATAGTTCCTGACCCAAGCTGAGTTTATAATTATGCCCAGGAAGTTTTTTTGTTGACTCATGACAAAACTATGACAATGAACAGTCTGTACAGAAGAATTGTCCCCTTTTGCTGAAATCTTACATAAATCTGTCACTAAAAAAATCTAGACTTTTCCAGATTCAATCTGTCACTGACTTCCATAAGGGTAAATTTTCCTCTTTATTTCGAAAATAACATATGTGCAAATTTCACAAACCATCTAAATTTAGCCTTGAGATAACTTCTTAATAGAAGGGTAGAGCTAATGAAGCATTCTTTCTATTTTTTTGTGTCTTGGTTTTAATTGACAAAGTTTTATCCATAGATTATGGAGCTTGATGCAGGAATTAACAGATAACTTTTTAGGAAGATTGTCAGGAGGAATTGTGACGTACATATTACAGATCTACTAAAAATTTAACAACCTGCTTCACAAATGATAACATTTGATTAAACTCAAACTAGAAACATAGTTTTATTTTAACTTAGTTAAATAATTTATTCAGCTTTTAACCTACAAAACTGTCTGAAGCATAAACTTCAGTTTCACAGTAACATTCTTTGGGAAGTAAGATATTAAGGAAGGATTCAGGATTATTGTATTTACATATGAATAAGATTCTCATTAAATACAAAACATTTGTAATTTGTGCTCTTAAATAAAGCTATCAGGACTGTATTTACTTTAGACAAGAAGAAAAAAAAATCTCTATAAACATGATTTGTATGTGAGGGTTTTTTTACTGAGCTCATATTTACTTCTGTATGCTGTAGATAGATACACCAGTAGCAATCTTAGCAGGTCATCATCCTTTATTACTCAAGTGTGTACTAGTTATCTTAAATGCTGGTCTCACCACACTAAGTATTTCAAGGTTAGATCATGCATTAGGTAACACATGAGTACCAGCACTTTGGTGTTAAGTATGTTCAGCAGTGTGGGAATTAGAGAGCTAATTTAATTTTGTTCATACATGGATTGTACATTAGCTGTGCGTAACTGCCCCTTGGGGGGGCACCCTACTCATGAAGATGATTGGCTGTCTCAGTATTTGAAATCTATTCTTAACATACATGTGAAACACTTTTTGTTAACAACATCAAGTCATGCCTTGTAACTCCTTAGTTTAGAACATTCCCTCTTACTGTATAAAGAAATCTGTATAGAAAAAAACATGTACTAAGAATTTATATGGAAATCCATAGGGTAATATTTGGAACTATGTTTATTCATCCTTTTTAGCCCCTGGTTTAGATGTTGCTGTTTTGAACTGAGGTACGATGCACTGTTAAACCTCATAGCACATCTGTGTAGAGTGTAAGGAGACGTAGGTTTTGCATTAAGGCAGTTGAGCTGATACCAAAAACCTACAATGTACAAGGCCTGAATGTGTTTTACATGGCTTAGACTGCAAGTAAAAATAAAGTATATGAAGCAGAAATCTCCAACTGCCCAGAAATACCACTTTACATGACAGAGAAGGGGAAACTTAAGGGCAGACTGAATGCTGGGAAAAGAGCTTAGCACAAAGTCTGGATCGAGAGGTGCAACTTACATAATTTTCTGAATGTGGCCAAGCTCTGTGCCAAGCAGGAGTGAATTTCAAATGAAAAATCATGCTACTGAGTACATTTTATCTTTTAATCATAGTACTGTCATCTTGATCCTACAATCAAATTCACAGATGAAAAATTCAAAGAAACGCTTACAGGCACATGGATGCAGTTGTGCAAGTCTGACAGTCCAAGAAAAACTTTTAATTGAAAACTACCCATGTATCATTTTTGCTTTAGTGGACGTGAGAATCAAAACCAATCTGCAGTACAAACACTGAAAAGCCAAATAGAAGCTGTTTTTTACTTTCCTCACAGTATGAGTAACAACACAACACTTTTCTTGTTGCTTACATATATGGAGTGAAATCCTTGCTCCAGCGAATTCAATGGGAGCTTTGTCATTGCCTTCCAAAAGGACAAATTTTT